AAGCTGCCCTTATAATAGTCTTTTTCTTCGCAGTTAACAAAAATAGAGAGAATGCTAAAGTTGCTTTGGCTTCTTCTCCAACCTCTGAGTATCAGTATATCCCAAAATTGACCATTTTTCAAAAAAAATGTTTTTTGCTTTTTCAGATAGATCTTATTGCGATTTTTCATTTAAAAAAAAAATTCTATGAAAACGATTGACCATAAGCAAATTTATAAACAAAAAAAAGTTTCTTTGCATTAATTACCTCTAACTGATAGCTGTCCATTAACAAGTTGCGTGACAGATTGCCGCGTAATACGATTGTCTAACGCTTGTGTTTTGTAGTTTACGAGCTGTTCTGAGTGTTCTCTGAGTGTGCTCTTTCATTGCCAACGGCATCTCAAAGCTGATGCGTTTTACAAATCGAAAAGAATATACAGAAGCGAAAGATATTTTCTTACTAACCTTGGAGCACGAGCGGTGGAATTCAGATCTTACAAAAGATATTTCCCGCCGGAGGCAACATTTGAGGGGTAACCCGAAAACACTGACACCCTGCGTGTTAAAAAGAAACCAGACAAGTAATCAAAATTTCTCGACACCGTTTTTTAGAGAAAGGAAGAAAAGAAAACATAGCGATGTTCATCGCGTCCTCTCGCTCAAACCCGATCGGAAACGAGCTTGATTAGTGAACCTCTATACTTTGGGAAATATAGCGCTATATTCGGAAAACCTTATTTTTTGTAATTTTAATCGATATACCTTCGTAATCTGCAATTCTTAAACTTTCAGAAAATGTATACTTTACTGGAGTTTTCGTGAACTGTCCGACCGTAAAGCGGCGCAAACGAATGATGGTCATTTGGGGTATACTGATACCTTAATTTGACGAGGAGCAACATACTTTGTGATTAACACTGCACAGTTATTTTGCATGAACGATCGCATTTGATACCCGATTAATTCGCTGGAACGTCAGTCGGTCATTTTGGAGTTGACAGCCTGCGCCGTCTTTGGAAAGCAAAATCCAAAACAAAACATAATTTTATCGAATTCTAGATTTTATAACCTTTCTGTTGATATATAGTTTGTGGGGGTTTCCTTGAAAACAGCGCGCGTACGAATTTTT